ATAATTTTTGCGATCGGGCTTGTTGCCATCAATCTGGCGGGCCACGGAGCCTCGCGCATATGAATAGATATGGGCATCGGCAATAATCCAACTGCTATGAGGCTGTACTCCACGGGTTGTGACACTTCAGGCCCATCACGAGCCCTCATACCGTTCAAGGAGGAGCCCAAATTTTTCCACCCGCAGTAGAGCGGGGTCCTTCCCGATCCCGCGATTCCCTGGCATCTCGGGACCTGGTCCCTGATTTGTGGGAACGGTAGCGGAGTTCTCGCGAGCCGCTGCCGCGCTCCCAGGGTACCGCGAGGGACATATCAGTACAGGAGGATCCGTTTGTGTTTGGCTCGATCGGGTTTAGCGCTCAGACCTTGACCACTGAGCGCTGGGGTGAGCATCGGGCATTGGATTATTGCGGACCCAACTAGTTCTGTCCGTCGTCGCCGCCCTCAATGACTGGCGGTCGCTCGTTCATTTCCTGAGGACCTAGCAAGAAACGGATCCAGGCCTTCTCCAAAGTTGGCAGTCGATCGAGGGCGAGTAAATTTTGGTGCACCGGTAAATTTTGCAGGTGCATCATATTAGATAATTTTAAAAGGCGCTATTATTATCATATCAGTAATCTTAACTACTGTTAACTTTTCCCAGTGCTAATTTTATCGCAGTGTTAAAATTATTCCTGTTCGCTGTTAACCCGGAATTAAAAGTCATCCATCCCGTTGGTGGGACAAAACCTCCAAATCGGAGCTTTCATGGCCTTGGCCCCCTAACACTATTTTTGTTACAGTACGAAGAAGTTGTCTTCCAGAGATTGGACACACTTTGTGAAAGCCACAGGTCGGCGGCAAGGAAATAGATATCATTGGATGGCGTTAACGGACACCCGTCACTTCTGGAGAATAATCCATTCCTGACTGATGGGTCCGCTGCCGAGGGGGTAATAATGATTGGACAAAGGCTTCCATCCCTCAAACCCGACCTGAGGAGCGACACCTGTGGCAGGCACAAACGTATTTGCGTTGGCTTCTTTTTACCGATGGACTCTGCGGTTGTAGCAAGGTAGATGAGGAGGCCACCACATTGGCATTGCGTTGCCTTGCGCGCGTGCTAATTCGCCAGTTCAGGGACGCACTCAGATTATCGTCTTCAGCTATTGCCACCGAGTCCAACCATAATTGGGAGAGGCAGCTTTACCGGACTTGGCGCCAAGAGTGGACTGGCAGGTTTGGGCGCTCCACGGACGAGCCCCGTGTGCAGGCAGCAGCGATGCTCCCTCTAGCGAACCCGCTTGGAGTTAAAAAGGAAGATTCTGTTAGGCATTTCCTTTCTCCCCGGACATGCCGAAGCCTCTGGAGTCATGTGAAACTCTACATCAACCATCCTTAGGCTAGGGCAGGCTGTGGAAATGGCTTAGCCTTGGAAGTGTCCTGCTTGAGGTGCCATTACATTTAGGTCTGTATCGAGTCCAGAGAGTATCTCTGTGTTCAGCTGAAAGTGAGGCTGCTCGTCCTGACTTTCGGAACCCCCCTGTGAGCACATAGGCAGCAATTGCATCGCCTTGGCGCCAAGAATACTGCCGAACTTGGGCCGGAACGCAGACTTTGCGTCATGACTGATTGCCAACGCCAAGTCACGATACAGCACGCCAAGTCATATGAGGGGTTTGTGCAAACTTTTCACAGGCCACGATATGAGGACGATGCACGAATTATCTCATATGTCCTCATCAACGGCCTATCTTTCAAGTATTTGCCCTGGGAAGCTGCAGCTTTTTAGACCTGATAGCACGCATTTCCTCTCGAATGCCTTCGGTCGATTGCCATTGGAGAGAGACTTCTAATATTCCCAATTGTTTGCCCTCAGCACACGCCAAGTTCCCTCGTTTCTTGGCAGTATTTAACATATGCTGATTTAACGAGGGCACTCCCCGCTGCCTTGGTTTTATTCCAAGGCTTCGTCCGAAACAGTCAAGATTCGCACGTTATATTCGATAACAAATTGGCTTCAAGGACAGACTTTCTCCATCATAACCCAATTTTATCCAGATGATATACATAATTCAGGGATGCCTCACTGTTTTCTGCCATTCTTGCAGCGCCTGCGCAAACACTCGGCTTCTGTACCGCGTACGGGAGATATCGAGCTCGACGAGGAGAGTAATTGCTTACTCTCCACAGAGGGCCTAACCTTGCGGGATAGGGTACCTTCGCCCCGAGGCAAGTTTTCGTCCGCTGGCACTGGGAAATATAATACACCCAAAAAAGATAGATTTGTCCGGACTAGTGGTGGGCATAAACATGATCTGAGCCTGCCAAGGCCGAGAAGACATTTTTGGAGAAGCAACGACCTCATAGACAGCGAAGGGCTTTTAGGCAAAAACAAGCCATTCATTAGCTCTAAGTCGCAGTGGATGGAAGGAAAACAACGGGAGGAGACCAGTTTGGCAGGGTGGCCCATCGAGAGTCGCAATATGGAAGCCATTACCCAGAGATATGGGGAAATCGAAATGGTCGCCGGGTATGGCTCTCATGCACTTGTATTAATATCACATAAAGTGCGCAACTGGGGTCCCCAACTCGATCGTTACTATGCTCTAAAGATTTTCCGCCGCGGATCAGCTCAGACCGAGTCTGATTATTACAGACGTGCGACTTCGGAGTTCTCGATCACTTCCTCCCTACACCATCAGAATATAATCGAGGCCTTCGAGATCCTCCCCTTGGGTGACGGCAGTCTCTGTGGGTGTATGGAGTATTGCTCAGGTGGAGATTTGCATGCACTGATTGTGTCTTCACATCGACTATGGGAAGATGAGGCAGATTGTTTCCTGAAACAGTTGATGTGCGGGATTCTCTATCTCCACGAGATGGGGATCGCTCACCGTGACTTGAAGCCGGAAAATCTTCTGCTTACCAACTATGGCCGCCTCAAGATTTCTGATTTTGGCCATGCAGAGTGCTTTCGTCTTGCCTGGGAAGATCAGGTTCATATGTCTACCAGGCGCTGTGGCTCAGTGCCATATGTATCCCCAGAGCAGTATCTTGCGCAACCGTTTGATCCCAGATATACCGACATCTGGGCTGCCGCTATTGTTTACATAGCTATGAGAGCTGGGAGGAATCCTTGGAAGTCGGCAACAGTCAAGGATGAATGCTTTCGAGACTATACTGAAGACTGCAAAGCTGGAAGCCAGTATTTCCTCATCAAAGACATAACCCATGTCAGGTTATCACTTTCCTTTCGTTGTTTAGATGGCTAATTCTTTTTCTTACAGGAGCGGAGCTGCGCGATCCTACATTCCATGCTGAGTGTCACACCCGCGCATCGACCAGGAGCGGCGGAAACTCTCGGTTCCCAGTGGCTTCAGGAGGTGCATTGTTGTCAAGCTACCACCAACACAGGACTTCCTGGTTAAGGCCTAGGCTTATATTCTGTATGTACTACTGCTGGGATGGCTTTTTATGTTTTGTCAGCCAGAGGTTTCTTCACGTTCAGCCATTCTGGGACTCGGTCACATCCAGTGCAAGTAATATCTTCCATAGCTCACACGTTTTGTCTCTGAACTAGGCATCCAACAGATAATAATATGAGATGAGTCACTTATCTCCAAATCTTCCAGTAGCTGGTAGCGCATCACAATGTGACAAGCTCTTATTTTGGCAGCACCTACCTATATGCACGCCTTCAAAGGGTATGCCTAGCAAGATCAACTAAATGTAAGCGAGGTCTGGCTTCAAGTGAATAGTCCAAACAAGCACAATCATCAGGACAATTTTTAGCGCGAGAAGTAGCGCATGAACTGTGTAATGACTCTATTGACCCTAGAACTCTATTACACTGGGAAGCTGAGAGGCTATTACTTCCAATAGATGGCACGCAAACAAGTTGGGAACCAGAGACGTGGAGAGAGCGCTTCGGGTACGCGTTCGTGCGACGCAGCTTTCCAGCAGCATTCTGACTTATTTCGTTGATTGTCTTTTAGCGATCTCTGGAAAGGTAATCACATCGAAAACGAATAATAATGCGAGTTGAGAAGCGTAGCTTTTCCCCTAACCAGGAGCTTGTGCGTGCTCACTCAGCCAGCTAGCCCACTCACTGACTTACGTAGATCTGCTAGAGGAGCTCGGTATTGAGCAAGAGGAAGGCTTGACCGCCAAGGAAGCTAGTCGGCGTCTCCAGGAATATGGCCATTATGAGCTGGATCAAGGCGAGGCAACTAATTGATCGAGAACCTTGCTCAATGTTTCTCAGTCCGTATCGTGGGGCTTCAATTACCCACAGATGAAAGCGCATGACAAAGGATAAAGCTTACTCGGTCAGACACGGCTAGGTCTGTCAGGCTTTGGCGTCTTAAGGGCCTGGTAACCTTGGCTAAGCCCCCTGTCGGAACCAGGTGTGTGGAGTACTATATTTTTGTTTTTGTTTTCGCCCGATTGAAATCCCCAAATTACATCATGATGATCGAATCCCACTTTTCACCACTCTCGGAGGGTACAACCACGGTAATATGCCTAATCTCTGGTTAGTGGGTCATTCCTTTGCCCATGCCGCAGCCTTGGAGACTTCCGGATTCGTCCTCGCACGACACTGCCCCCACACTTGGAGCTTCAACGCTTGGCGGGAAAGTCGAAATCATCGTCGCGTCGGTGAACCCTATGTCTCCGAACCCCGGACCCTCTCTTCATGGGCAGTTTGTCCTCCGATCATCCACTATGGTTGGTTCTCCGAATTTCTTCCTTGGCCAGCCCAACCTCAATATGCAGCCATCGCTCTGGGCGCCAAGCTATTTTCAGATTTTAACCAATAGCTGCTATCAGTGATTCGCAAACTTCGGACAGAGATTTCACGAAAGCACTACCCTGGGTCTTTAAGAGGTTGGGCCTGCCCTCTGTGTTGCTAATTTTTCTTCATCCGTCCTTCACCTAAGCTGATTCCTTCATTCCTCCTTAGGAGCATTGTTTCCTAGGGTTGCCGCTAAAGGAGCTGCTGAACGAATTACTTGAGCAATGGCAAAAGAGAAAGGCGCAGGGCCGGGCGGAGTACGCCCTGGCCATGCGAAGCTGAGCCAACCTGCCTATTGCCTTTCCTTCGAAGTCGTCCTGAAAGAGATTGGTACGGACATTGACGAAGGGTTGACCAAAGACGAGGCCACCCACCGCCTTCAGCAGTACGGCCAGAACAAACTTGATGAAGGCGAGAGCGTCTCCATCATCAAGATTCTCGTGCGCCAGGTGGCCAACGCAATGATGCTAGTTAAGCGGCCCACTTTACTTTCTTGTTGAATTTTTCTTGCATAAGAGCTCCCAGAGTCTGATCCAATTCTATGTTGACAGGTCCTGATTCTGGCTATGGCGGTCAGTTTCGGAATTCAATCCTGGATTGAAGGTGGTGTTATTGCCGCTGTCATCGTTTTAAACATTGTCGTCGGCTTTTTCCAAGAGTATGCAGCTGAAAAGACGATGGAGTCCTTACATAACTTAAGCTCTCCCACTGGAACTGTTACTAGAGGCGGCGAAACCTTTTCGATTCCGTCCACTGACATTGTCCCTGGCGATATGATTGAATTGAAAACCGGCGACACCATTCCCGCGGACGTCCGGTAAGTACTTGCCGTCCCCTGCGTTTGCCCCTCGAAAGGTTGCCATATTGGCCGCTAGATAGACCTAATCTGACATACTGCAGGCTGGTTGAAGCCGTGAACTTTGAGACCGATGAAGCACTGCTGACCGGCGAGTCTCTGCCCGTCCAAAAGGAGTGTAACTCTACCTTCAAAGAAGATACTGGCCCCGGAGATCGGTTGAATATCGCCTATAGTTCCAGTACAGTCACACGCGGCCGTGCTCGAGGTGTGGCCGTCAATACCGGCATGGCGACCGAAATTGGATCAATCGCTGCTGCCCTCCGTGCTACTAACAGCAAACGTCGTCCAGTAAAGCGAGGCCCGGGCGGCGAGACCAAAAAGCGCTGGTATGTCCAGGCATGGACACTGACCGGAGCTGACGCAGTTGGCCGCTTTCTTGGAGTCAACGTGGGCACTCCATTACAGCGTAAGCTGTCTAAACTTGCAATCCTGCTGTTCGGCATTGCTGTACTCTTTGCCATTATTGTGATGGCAGCCAATCTGTTTTCCAGTGACAACGAAGTTATCCTTTACGCCGTGGGGACTGGTCTCTCTATGATCCCTGCGTGCTTGGTGGTTGTCCTTACGATTACTATGGCGGTCGGTACCAAGCGCATGGTCGAGCGAAACGTTATTGTTCGCAAGTTAGACTCGCTCGAGGCACTTGGAGCAGTCACGAACATCTGTTCCGACAAAACTGGTACCTTGACTCAGGGAAAAATGGTAGTTAAAAAGGCCTGGATCCCCTCGCGCGGTACATACTCTGTCGGTAACTCGAACGAGCCTTTCAATCCAACTACTGGAAATGTGACTTTTACTCCCGTACCGCCTCTCGAGGTTGTGGATGAGAAGGAAGGCCCCACGGTCGAGAACGTCGAAGGTCTGGTTGATGGCAACCGTCCTCTTGAAGATTTCCTGGACGTTGCATCCATGGCCAATCTATCTCACGTCTTCAAATCGGAGGAAGGCGAATGGCATGCACGAGGCGAGCCGACTGAGATTGCCATCGAAGTATTCGCCTCCCGCTTCAACTGGAACCGAGACCGATGGACAAAGGGCTCAAAGGCCGTGTGGCACCAGAAGGCAGAATTTCCGTTTGATTCAACCGTGAAGAAGATGTCCGTGATCTTCAGCAGAACGAAGCCAGATGGTGAGAAACAGGACATGATCTTCACCAAAGGCGCCGTCGAGCGAATTATAGATTCCTGCACAACCGTTATTTGGGATCAGGAATCCTCTACCCCCGTACCACTGACTGACAAAATGCGCGAGAAGATTCTCCAGAACATGGAAGAGCTTGCGAAACTAGGCCTACGTGTTTTGGCTCTCGCACATCGACCATATAAGGAGGAATCTTCTTTTCTTGAGGGCTCTAACATCAACCGCGACGAGATTGAAAAGGGCCTCTGCTTCCTTGGTCTTATTGGGTTGTATGACCCTCCACGTCCCGAAACCGCGGGCTCGATTGCGGCCTGCTACAGGGCTGGTATCACGGTGCACATGGTGACTGGTGATCACCCTGGAACTGCCAAGGCAATTGCCCAGCAAGTGGGCATTTTACCTGCAGAGATGTCAGCAGTCGGTGCTGATGTGGCTGATGCCATGGTCATGACTGCTGCTCAATTCGATCAACTCTCTGATGATGAGATTGATAATCTCCCCACTTTACCACTGGTCATTGCCCGCTGTGCTCCTCAGACAAAAGTTCGCATGATCGGCGCATTGCACCGACGTGGTCGATTCGCAGCCATGACTGGGGATGGCGTGAATGACTCTCCATCCCTAAAACACGCGGACGTAGGTATCGCCATGGGTCAAGCAGGCTCTGACGTCGCAAAGGACGCATCAGACATCATCCTTACGGATGATAACTTTGCATCTATCCTAAATGCTATCGAAGAAGGCCGCCGCATCTTTGATAACATCCAAAAGTTTGTCCTGCATTTGCTCGCTGAGAATATCGCCCAGGCTTGTACGCTGTTGATTGGATTGGCCTTTAAAGATCAGGACTCGAAGTCTGTGTTCCCCTTGGCTCCTGTTGAAATCCTCTGGATCATCATGATCACCTCTGGAATGCCTGACATGGGTCTCGGCATGGAAATCGCGGCACCAGATATTATGGACCGCCCGCCACAAGCAAAGCAAGGTATCTTCACCTGGGAGGTTATCGTCGATATCCTCGTCTATGGCTTCTGGACCGCAGCACTCTGCCTTGCAGCCTTCAGTCTGCGTATGTGGGGCTTCGGCGACGGCAATCTAGGCAGTGGCTGCAACCGCGAGTACTCTGACCAATGCGAGCTCGTCTTCCGCGCTCGCGCAACCACATTCGTCTGCCTGACCTGGTTCGCGCTCTTCCTCGCCTGGGAAATGGTCAATCTGCGCCTCTCGTTCTTCCGCATGCAGCCCGATAGTGAGAAGTACTTTACGCAGTGGATGTACGATGTATGGCGCAACAAGTTCCTCTTCTGGTCTATCATGGCTGGGTGGATTACTACCTTCCCTATCTTGTATATTCCTGTGCTGAACACAGTTGTTTTCAAGCATACGGGTATTTCGTGGGAATGGGGTATTGTCTTTGTCGAGGCGATTCTGTTCTTTGCTGGTGTTGAGGTGTGGAAGTGGGTAAAACGAGCGTACTTTCGCCGTGAGAAAAAGAAGGTACAAGATCAGAGTGCGAGGCCGATGGGGGACCCGAGCAGCTACACTGAAGATGCCTAACCATTGCTCTCCCTCGCTCAAGCTCGATTTGAATGGGAGCCGGGGATACTGTCATTACTGGATCTGGCGATGTGTTATTCGGTTACAGACTCATTGGTACCTAACTGTTTTTTTTTCGGCAGACGCGTTGTGGAGTCTATTGGGGGG